TATTATATTTAATATTAATTTATTAGTATTTTACATCTATTATTATTTATTTATTTTCTTCGAGATACAAATAGATAGCAAAATTATTTAAATGTAAATCAAATTAATCTATAAATTTAATATTACATATATATACATTTATTATTTTGCTTATTTACTATGTATAATTATTTAAATTTAAATAAAATTAAACTTAAATTTTAATTTTAAATAGTATATCGATGGCCTAAAGTCACTCAGGCATTTTATGATAAAAATTGAAATACCTTCGATTCGAATGTTGCATGCTGCGAGCGTTGCGAGCGCTGGGAGCAAGTTTGGGCAAGCAACAAATAAACAAATTGCGCGGCGCAAGAAAGTGTAATAAATAAACTCAACTGCCAAAAACTGCACAAATAGCTGTCATTAGGGGAACAAAAAGCGGAGTGGGTCTGATAGAGAGCAGGTGCGGCATAATTGCCCAACATTTTGTCCGTTAACCTAAGAAAATTGCCAAAGCAGAAAAACGAGCGCACGCATACACACACAAAACACACACATACACAGACATATGAGAGAGGCATAACGAGGAAGCACGAGGAGCCGGCAATAAGCACAACAAGCTTAGCAGCTTAAAATAATTTATTATGCTTAAAGTAAGTAAATGGCTAAATGCCGGCATATGGCAGGTCAGCAATCGAGCAGAACGCGCACCGCATCGCATCGCATCGCACCACCAACCGCCAGGAGGAGCACCATCTGCGCGCTCGCTCATATGTGCGACGTCGCCTGCCACTGCTGGCACGCACGGAAGTCAAGTAATGTTAATATCTGGTCAACTGGAAAAACAAAGTAAATTAATTGTAGGTTCAAAGAACGCCAAGCAGCGCAGCCTTGTCCCGTGCTAAGCTTGGCCGGGCTGGGCTGTCGGCCATTGCTGATTATCGAGTCCGACGCGGTCACTGAAGACTTCCTGCTTGGCTTGAATGCCTAACAGTCTGCTGGCAGCCCGCCTGCCCTGCACCCCCCTGGAACCTAAACAGTCTTTTGGCCAGCTAAACAGCTAGGCTAGCTGGATTGTAGGCATGTATGAGTGTCTCTGTGTATGTGTGTGTGTGTGTGTGTGTCTTGGTATTAGATTTTTCAGCAAAGTGCAGCCAAGCGAAACCAATTTCCCATACATTGTAAGCAGGCCAGGACATCACTTGTAAATCTGTGTGAGTGTGTTTGTGTGTGTGTAAGTGTGCGCGTGTTTCCTGTTGCAGCTG